TTCTTTCTTTCTTTCTTTCTTTCTTTCTTTCTTTCTTTCTTTCTTTCTTTCTTTCTTTCTTTCTTTCTTTCTTTCTTTCTTTCTTTCTGTTTTGTCTTTTATAGACAGGATTTTGCTATATTGATCAGGATGACCTTGAACTTCTGAGCTCAAGATGAGCCTTACACTTCAGCTTCCCAAGTAGTCAGGTACATTTGCTAGGTAAGACAAATTTTTTTGTCAGTTGTGGGGCCTGAACTCTGGGCCTGGGCTCAGTCCCTCAGCTCTTCAGCTCAAGGCTAGCATTCTACCGCTTGAGCCATAGAGCCACTTCCAGCCTTTTCTGTTTATGTGGTGCTGAGCAATCGAATCCAGGGCCTCACATATGAAAGGCATACATGTTCCTAAATTGCATTTCCTACTGCCTTTGTATGTAAGTTCAAATCAAGATGGCATCTAAAAGGCACCAGGACTTATGAGCATTTTCCCTGGCTCTTCGTGGAGGAAGTGAAAAGTCTGCTCTCCCTGTGCCTACATGACCAATTGATTTGAAATGGGAAATTCTGGTCAGAAATTCTGTAAGATTGTGAAAGGGGAAGAATAATTATCCTACACATGTAGATCTACTTCCATTCCTGCCTCAACAAAAGTCACCTTTGTCCTAGTTCCAAAAAATAAAACCGAGGAGTCATTCTTATTTATTCATTTATTTGTACAGTTGGAGCTCGGTTTTGTACTTGCTGGACTAGAGTGACGCTGCTGAGCCACACCATCAGCCCTGTGTTTCTAGGGTAGAGTCTCACTTCTTACCCAGGTGTGTGTCTGAGCTGTGAACTGCCCACTGAAGGCTTCCATTATTGCTGGAATCACAGACACACACTTTATCTAACTTCCCTTCTGAAGAGTCAGTCTTGTCAACGTTTTCTGCCTGAGCTGGTCTTACATGGTCATCCTCCCAGTTTCAGTCTCTCGTATACCTTGGATGAACTTCTCTGCTACAGCTGTTCTCAAACCATGATCCTGCCAACTCAGACCCTCAAGTAGTAAGAATTACAGGTATGAGCCACCAAGTTCCTAGCTGAGGAGTCATTCTCAATGGATCCTTTTATCCCACTCTCCTCTGGATTGAATTTGTCATCAAATTGTGTTCCCCCCAAAAAAAGTCTTTGGAAAGCTATCTGTTTCTTTCTATGATCTCCATCATGAAGTTTCATGTTGGTGATAAAGGCAAGATAATCAGGAATCCTTTCTGATTCCCTCTCATCATTATATTTCCAGTCAGTCAACAAATATATTGGTCAATGAATAAATGATTAGAAGCTGTACTGGATTGTGAAGTCTTTGTAAATTAGACAGATATAAAAGGAGAATAATCATTATAGGAAAAGACTGAAAAGAAAGAGTAGGTAAGAGAAAGGATAAGAGAAAGAGTTGATACAGTATATATACAGACCAAAGGTAAAGTTGACTAGCGAGAAGTAAATGGGAAATAAGTTTCTATAAAGGTAAGGGGTCAGATTATGGAACATTAGAATTTGTTTTGGTATAAAAGTAGAGATTTTAAACCAAGAGGTTTTTTTTTTCTTTTGTGCTATTTTTTTCTTTTTGTTCTATTTTTTGTTTCCATTTTTGAAATGGAGGGACAAAGGTGAACAAATGAAGGAATGGTACTCACTGGCCACTATGTTGAATATGAACTATACAACTTGTAGGTAGAGATGGGAGGGGATAACTGGGAGACAGTGAGAGAATGAGTGACATTGTCCAAAAAGAAATGTCCTCATTGCCTGACTTGTGCAACTATAACCATTCTATACATCACCTTTACAATAACAATAACAATTTTTAAGTGGAGTTTTTTTTAAATAGGATACTTGTAAACAGAAAGTAGAAATTAAATGTAGGATAGTTGAACAAAAAAATCAGAATCAATTCAGATTTGGAATGATGAAGCCCCAGTGTTGGGTGATGACAATAGAGACTGCAAAAGAGAGACTGAGAGAGAAAAAGTTTAACAAAATTGGGCTATGGTGACTTTTTGTGCAATGTGGATATAATTTCACTCTTCCTGCACTTTCAATGAAGCTCACTCGATAATTCAAAAAAATCCACGTCCATTTATTGAATAGCCATTTTTAGAAATGTTTGTACATTTTAGTAATAAGAGGTGCAACCATGACACGATGGACATTTTGGATCAGATACGTCTTTGCAGGCACAGTGGGCCACTGGAGGTTTTCCTAGCCTCTTCTCATTGGATGCCAATAGCGCTGCCCATCACGTTATGCAAACAAATGTGTCTAGAGGCATTGCCAAATGCCCCTTGGGGAAAAAAGAGCAACACTTCCATCCACTAGATGAGTTTCAACTAGATAGCCCTATAATGTACAGATTATCACCCTTCTCAATATTTACTTTTATATTACAAGCACTGTTTTTACTCTACTTTAGAAAGTGACATGTTTCTTAAATAAAAACATTTTTACATTAAATAGAAGTACATCTTTAGAATAAAAGGAGTAAATCTTTAAGTTACTTACACTGAGTTCTAAAACAATTCCGAGGCAGTCTGTCAGCAAGGACACCAGCATGGCAACAGTAATAATTGCTACTGTTATAATGATGTGACACACCGAGGAAAGAGTCCCACCAAAAAACACAGTGGCGAATACCTGCCAAAAGACAGATCTGTTTGAGAAGTGCTCTTGAGACAGGCAGTATTTACTGACAGAGTATTTCGTAAGAGTCCTTAGGAATGTATAATCAAATCTCAAGTCACTATGAACTCTGTAGCTTTCTAAAGTGTTCCTACATAGATCACATAGCAATACAAATATTTCTAGTCAGTGCTTTAGTCAGTGGATTATACTACAGACCCAGACCGGAGACTGGCGTGCCAATGTTTAAATACACAAATGCCTTTCAAGTATAAGAAAACCATTCATCTTGGCCCAACAATGTTTCTACTAAAAGAAAGTACAGATATTATTTAGGTAATTTGAAGGGCCTCTAGGAAGGTGGTTAGAACATTTCCTTTGAACTATACTAAAAGTATAACATTCATCTTTAAGAGGAATTAAATTCTAAATATTAAATCCTATTTGTTGCAACCTAACTCTAGTTTATCTTGCCTTTCCTCAACAAAACTAGAGAAAACTTTTTTCTATTTTTTCTTATTAGAATTTTTTCCATTTTTCTATTCCCCACCAATAGGATCAGGAAATCAATCAGCAATCACCTATTTAATGTATGCCACACTGTGATACAATTTGCAAAAAAGGAAATGTCTGGGAGATGATTCCTAGACATTAGACAATTAGAATTAACATCCCAATTGGAGATCTACAGACAATATAATGAAACAAAGGTCAATTTCTGGCAGGACTGAAAAATTTAGGACTGTAAGGAGATTCCATTACCTAGAATTTTCTCGCTTAGTGTAATTTTCTTCAGAACATTCCTAAGATGTGACACAGCTCCCTTAGCCTCAGGTGGGGATTGAAACAAGGATGACTTTTACAGAATTCCAATCTAAGATAACTGAGCAAAAGAAGTAGAATAGGAATGATATCACTGAGGACCGGAAGAGACTGACTCAACAGAGGTAGAGAGACTCTGCATGTTGGGAACAAAGACTGGAAATGTGGTAAAGAGTCAGATGCTGCATTATAAAGAAGGCAGCTCTCAAAGGTATTTCCTACATAGGCAACATTCCTCATAGATCTGACGCTACAACAGCTCTGCTAAGGATTTAAGGGTAATACCAATCATTTTAACTGGTCTTAATTTATCTTCTCAAACAGAATCTTATTTAAAATCTATTATCATGGATATGTCTATGATAAGGTTATAAGAGTGATAAAAGAATCATTTAGTCATGCAGGCTACTAGGGATAGTTTTTAGGGGTACATAGCATTTCTGTCCTCTTTATAAGTGTCTGGCTAGATTATATATGAATAGATATGGCTTTGGTTATGTTAACTGTTTCTTTCCCTTTTCCCTCTCACTTTCTCTTTCCAACTCCTCTATGTATGAGGAGAAAGAAGAGTAAAATGAATTGATGAGGTATATATAGAATTTCTCTGAATAGTATTTGCTACCATGAAAAATGCCTTGCTTTGATTCTGTTTTTTTGTCATGGCAGCTAGAAAGGAAATTCAAGTCTCAGTGGTAAAGACAGATGTGAGGCATGTGAAGTGACTCAGATTGTCCCCATGCAGTTTACCAGAAACCATATGAGAACGTGCCATCCGTTCTTGTTGATCTAGAGATCAGATCTTAGCTGAAAGTGCTAGGCAGATTCAGAATGAATACCATTTCCTGAATCAAACAATAGTTAGCAAAAGTTTGTATAAAGAAATCCTTACTTGACTTCCCTCAAGCCAAGGTGGCAAGCTATCTTGAGTAACAACCGCATAACGTATTAATACAGATGGAAGGGACACAAGCAATGCTGAATGTATTCCTTGTCCCAGGATGTTCCTCATTCCAGAACTGGCTTTTAGAAGGCACTGGGCTGCTTTGACATGCCTGAGGATTACTTAGTGAGTTCAGGGCTCTGTAGACATTTCACCTTATACCTTAGGCCCAGTCACATGGTTCACTAGGTTAACAGTCTGTAGGAGAAGATCCTATGATTAAGTCCTCTAGGGTAACACCTGAAGGAACTACCATTAACACAAGATCACCTGGCACTGCTGACAAGAACAGCGGGTATTCAGACAACACCATAAGAGAGATGCCTGACAAAGCCATGTTATCCAATTTTACACCAAGTGAGTTAATTCTTTCTGATAATCCTTCTCTGCAAATCAAATACAAATCACAAATCAAATCTATACCATCATTTACACCCTACATATAAACGATATATGATATATAAGATACATAATATCATAGGTAAGATATAGATATATAATATATATCAGAGATATATCTACTATGTCACATGTTTACATCACTACACTATTTTTGAATGTCATATAAAGATGTACACATAAAATTATTATTGAAATATTATTAAATATATCTGTACAAATACAGGTTTAAGTTGTGGTTTCATTCCTCAAGAAATATAAGAGCTATATATTTTGTTTATTTAAAAATTTCAAAACCAATTAGAAGCTAACCCATAATGTGTTTAATGCATATTGACTTACAAAACATCTAAGGAAGGAGATAAATTTGAAGGCCTTTTAAAAACTGGTACTTAATTTCTTCAAGAAAGAAATGCTAGAGAAAACTAAACAACTTCAGCTTGGCTGAACTCAATCCTAGCCCTCATTTTTGAATGCAGTTGTATAAATGTTTGTGCTTATGGTAATATAAGCCAAAGTACCAACCCTGCCTTTTAGTTCAAACTTTTGAAAGACTTACCTTGTTAACATTGGAATATAAATTAATCTTTAAATTTAATGGTTTTTATATGACAAGGAAGATTTTGTATTATTGGAAGAGGGCTATTGATAATTCTTTTTAAATTAAATATAGTAGAGCAAAATACATCACAAAGGAATTGTTCTTACTTCTCTGGTCACGAAGCATTCCAGTGGGTAGGTCAAAATGACTGTGACACCATAACAAAACCTCCCAAAGGTCACCAGGTCATCAGTTCTGCAATAGTTCTCAAATAAGTCTCCTAGAGAACAATATAAAATATACTTATTTATTACAGATGGGATAATTGAAATAGCTAATATATGAGATCTTATTTATAACCTAAGTGCAGCTCTATCAATTTCATTTTGCTTACTTAGAAGACCAGATTATCAGGTATAAATTTGTTTGTACATTTAAACCCTATAGTTCTTTACTGACATTATAACCAGTAGATGTTCCATAAGAAGATAATTTCAGTACTAACATTTTTTGTAAATTTTCCTTTTACTTTCCTTATTTGTTTTTGGTAGGTTTGCCTTAAATTTGTACCAACTTCTGACAAATACTTTATTCATTGTCTGAACATCAGAATCAACTCCTTTAACTCTTATTGCATTGGCTTTGTAAATTTGCTTCTGGTCTTTGTTTCTGGTAAGTGACTGTGTTATAAAAGAAAAAAAAAGTCTGCAGAAGTAAACACATTTCCCTTTGAAATGCTATTCTTAGATCAAGGAGAATACAGAAGGGAAGAGTAGACCAGGCTATCAGGGGAGTTGCATTTCCTCCCCATCATACTACTGAAGCTAGGGACCTCAGAACCACACCAAAGAATTCCAAACATACATTGTTTTTCATGTCACCTGATGTGTCTGAGTAGATTGTTTCAAAACTATGAAAATAATATGGTTGACCCCAAGAAAGAACAGTAAATGAGAGAAGTCCCAAACTAAATAATGAACCATATATATTTTGAACCACTTCTTATTGAGAGTCTGTATGTTTTCAGATAACTATGAAGAAATCCAGGGAACTAATGAGGGCACAGAGGTCAGGTCAGAAATAATACTTAGCAATGTGGAGAGACAGTGTTTGGGCCTGTTATTTCCTGGATTGAACATGCATAAATTTGAAAGCTGTATTCCCCTTGTTTCAATTACACTGAATAGAAAATTAGATTAAAGTCACATCTTGTACTACTTGGTTTCAAAAGAAGAAAACAAAACAATACTTCTCTATTTTTTTTTCATGAAAAAGCTAACTATTCCAATGACTTACTATACATTCCTAAGACTTGCTTTAAGTCACTATTTGTCCCTTCCTTTATCAACATTACTTTCTAATGTGCATTTCTGGCAAAGAAGATTAAGTGGTGGCAGGAAACTGCTTCAAGTTTGATTGAAAAGGTCTCACTACTCTGAATTAAAAAATATTCCCAAGTTCCCAAGTTCCCATTAACTAACTTCCACTAAAACATAGTCCCTTTGTCATTTTAAAAATCACTGGAAACATCAAGAAGAATCCAGAATTCCCACTGCCTCACAAACTGGAATTTATCTACCAAAAGAGGAGAGAAAACAATGACATAATAGGTACACATAAGACCACTTTGCCTAAGGAGAAATGACCTACACAATACAGGCTTATTCCCATTGAACCCAAGTGTATTCTTATGGGAAAAAAACAAGGACAGCAACAAGATCAAATACTCAACAGCTGTTACATGAAAAGTCTTTCTTTCTTTCCTTTCTTTTGTTTAAGATAGGGTCTCACTATATAGGCCAGCCTGGTCTTGACCTTTCAGTCTCCTGCCACAACCTTCCTAGTGCGGCAGTTACAGCCATGGACTACCACACCAAAGAGGGTTGATGTGAAAGACTTAATTATGACTAAGTGATTTAAAATAAAACAGAAAGGTATGGTTAATTTTTTAAAGGCATATATTTTAAAGAAGCAGCACTTCAAAAAGCCAAAGACCTATTCAGACTAAGGCAATTAGGCCATTCATCTTGGCAATATGAAGCACAAATGATAATTTGGAATGTCTAGAAACACAGTTCTTATCAAGAATCTCAAGGTCAGTTTTGACTATACTGTAATATACCTTTGACTGCATTAGTATTGTGCTCATCATTATTTTTTTTTTGAGATGCTACTTAGGCTTGAACTCAGGACAGGGGAATTGTCCCTTAGCTATCACTCCACTACCTGAGTCCCACGTGCAGTTTTTGTATGCTTAACTGGTGATAAGAAGCCTCACAGACTTTCCTGCCTACATTGTCTTCAAACTGTGATTCTCAGATATTAGCCTCCTGAGTAGCTAGGATTCTAGGCATGATCCACTTGTGCCTAGCTCATCATTATTTTAAAGTCATCTTTCTTCATTTCCTAAGAAATATTTGCCTATATTCACAGAGACCTGGAACTTTTTGTCCAGTCAAGTCCAGTCATTTTTTCCCAGAGCACTTCAGTGTTATGGAAAAAAACGGAGACACAGAATTGAGTGGGTTTTGGCTAACCAATGTGGTGGGGAAGGCAGAAAGAGAATGGAAACAAAATTGAACTTGGGTGTTAAAACATTTGTTTTCTAGTTTGTTACCAGCCAGCTTGGACAAGTTACTTGTCTTTTTGTGTCTCCAGTAGGAGGTAAAACTAGTTATTCCACTTACTTTCTAAAGGTTGTTGGAAGGTCAAGTGAGACACTAGACTTGTAAAAGCTGTTCAATATATTAGTCACTGCGTTTAGACTGCTGTCAGACTATAAGAGCAACATACTACATGAATGATTGAATGAGAGAAAGGGTCAGAGGAAGGAAAAGAAAGGACCACTCAGTGATGGGGCTTGGAGGATACAAGGAAAGAAATGTAACATTTGAGGCAGGGAAGAAAGAACTGGTTTTAATGGAAAAACTTTGTTGTTGTTTTGCTGAAGGCAAAATGGCACAGTTAAATAGAACCTACAGCAAAGGCTAGAGATGAAAAGACTTGGGCAGGAATTACAGAAAAATTTTCATCAGAAAAGCAGACAACTTGCCTGAGCTAATTATCTGGGTGGGGTGAGGGATTAAAGAGGTCCAGAGAGAGAAAAGAAAGAAAGAAAGAAATATTCATAGAGAAAAAGAATAACATGGTGTTATTTCTTCTAAAGAAATAAAATAGAGCCAAGAAAAGATGCTCGGTGATGTTGTCTGACTCAGAAAACACAGGAGAGGTGGAATCAGGAAGGTTTTTAGCTCTGTCATGTGGGGAGGCCACTAGTACCTTTGAAAGTGTATGAGGGGGGTTAGAGGGAGACTGTATGCTTGGAAGGAAAAGCCTGGGTGAAGAGAGTATGGATTATAGTTTAGGAAGAGAAAAATCCAACAGCAGGTCATGGAGAGATAGAAAGAAGAATGGAGAATGTACAGAAGAATGATTCTTTACCTTGAGTGAAGCCAGTAAAAGTCCAGTATCCACATGTGGCAAAGAGAACACTGATAAATACAGAGATGAAGATGGACATATGGATGATGCGGGACCACTTAGTTACTGTGGGTTCTTCCAAAGAGCCATACACTAAGAAGCAGTTATGGTGGCAAATAAATGCTGCAACACACAAAAATAATTTCATTTAGAGATTCTTGCTTCTTAAGAATTTTAACCAATTCAAGTTCATTTGTATGAATTTACTAATCTTGCTGAACATTACATTTTCTAATAGGTCTATGAATAAGAAACTTCATTGACACCAGGCTTCGGTGCTATCTTTATGTCACTTTTGATGTAAGTCAGACCAATGCAAATTTCTCTCCTGTTTTCCTCTACTAATTATCAGTGGATGACTTCTTTTTCTTCCTGGGACATAGTGTAGCTTTGGATTTTGAGCCAGTTCTTAATACTTTGTGAACAAGTTTTTAAAGAAGTCTATACCACTTGACTTCCAGGTTAAGAAACAAGATTTAAATGGCCACCATTGGCTCATGCCTGTAATCCTAACTACTCAAGAGGATGAGATCTGAGGATTTTGGTTCAAAGACAGCCGAGGCAGGAAAGTTCACAAGACTCGTATCTCCAATTAACCACCAAAAAATAAAAAGCCAGAAGTTCAGCTGCTTTGACTCAAATACTATAAACTAGACGAGCACAAAAAAAAAAAAACTCAGAGATAGCATCCAGGCCCTTAATTCAAGTCTCAGTACTGTCCCTCTCCTCTCCCCCCCCACAAAAAAAAACAGACAGCAAGAAAGAAGAAAAAAATAAAAAAATAATAATAACTCTAATGAATTGTCTGCAAGAGAAACAGATTTCCCCCAAACTGAAGCAAATTTTAGTGATGAGCAAGCAAAGTTTTGAGCCTAATTCTATATTGGCCCAAACTAGTCCATGTCCTGTTAGTAGGAAGTCTAGGCCCTTAGGACATCTGCTACATAGATAAAAACATAAAACAACTCTTTCCTATGGAATAGAGGAGACCACATTGAGAAAGGGCTCCTGAAGTAATATACTCACCAAAAGACATCACCCCAACAGCCTGAATAGCATTAGGCTTTGCAAATACCCAGGCATCTTCCGTTTTGGGTCTAGAAGAGAGCCAAAGAATTTGAGAAAGAAACCAGCGTAACTGGTATACCAGAGAACAAGAAATGATGTTATACATAAACAGTGAGTATGTTTAGGCCAGAAATGATAATTATTTGCCATTAATATTAACCATACATGAATTTCCTGGGAATGGTAATACTATCTCAACCCCAGATCTGTATGCTATGTAGCAAATATTTGGACAGATTCTAACTTCATAGATTATCTAATTTTGTGAATGTATTTACTTGCTCAATAAGTTGTACAACAAATATTTATTATGATTTCATCACTTCTGATACTTATTAAGGAAGATATATAATTAATCTTGCCTACTAACTTCCCTTTAGTGCCTGTTCAGATTTTCAGGCTCAGTTTACCCAGGAGATATTTAGTAGGCACTGCAGTTATTAAGATAGATAGACATGCACTAGATCTAATTGAGGGTGTCTTGACTTGGTGTTGGCAACTCTGCTTTGTCATATAGCTATTATTTTTTTTTTTGGTCATGGGGCTTGAACTCTGGGCCTGAAAGCTGTCCCTCAGCTTTTCAGCTCAAGGCTAGGTTCTACCACTTAAGCCACTGCACAATTTCCGGTTTTCTGAGTGGTTTATTGGAGATAAGAGTCTCAAGGAGTTTCGTGCCTGGGCTGACTTTGAACTGTGACCGTTCAGATCTCAGCCTCCTGAGTAGCTAGGATTACAGGCATGAGCCACCAGCGCCCAGCTCTAATTTAAATTTTATGACAACATTTTAGTTTAATTATAATTTAGTTTATTATAATGTAAGACATGAGAATATCAACTTCTGGATGATGACTCTGGATGGTAGAAGTTGTCTACCATCCTCAGATAAATGATGAACTTGAGAGGTTTGTTTTCTTGGTGTGTTTCAGCTCATATGTTTTATCTATGCTCAAATAATCTGATAATGACCTCAAATATACCCCTGTTGACAAAGTTCTGAAAAGGAGTTTGGGAAATATATATATATATATATATATATATATATATATATATATATATATATATATATATGCACACAAGTTATGCATTTAATCATTTTATTCATTCATTTAATCATTCCTTTTTTTGTGGCAGGGTTTGACTATGTGATTTAGGCTATCCTTGAATTTATAATCCCCCTACCTCAGCTTCCCAAGTGTTGAGTTTAAAGGTATGAGCTACTTCACCTGGATTGCTATGCACTCTTAGTGACTTGAAGCAGCATAAATCCTACAGGAATTAAAATATTCAGTAGTATCTGTTTAGCACTTTCCTTTTACCTCCCTGTAATGATGAACAATATAGACTCCAAGCTCAAATAGAAAGCATGTGCTTGTCTAGTCTTGCCTTTTTTTTTTTGTCGGTCATGGGGCTTGAACTCTGGGCCTGAGCTCTGTCCTTCAGTTCTTCAGCTCAAGGCTAGCTCTCTACCACCTGAGCCACAGTGTCACTTCCGGTTTTCTGGTGGTTTATTGGAGCAAGGAGTTTTATGGCCTTTCCTGCCCGAGGTGGCTTTGAACCATGATCCTCAGATCTCAGCCTCCTGAGTTGCTAGGATTACAGGCTCGAGCCACCAGTGCCCAACTCAAGTCTTGCCTATATTTTTAGCTGTGAGACCTTAGGCAAGTTATTAGATCCTTCTGTGCTTCAATGTCTACATCTAAAAATGGGAATAGCTGTGGTACTGTGGTACTAAGTTATTTTTCAGGTTAAATGGTATGCAATGTGTAAATCTTCCAGAAGAAGAATGACAACATTCAATATACAGCTATTAGTTTTTACCAAGGTTATTTTCTATTTTTTAAAAATTATTTGCTGTGAATTACTAAAATATGGCAAAGTTCTAAAAGTAAGGACAACTAGAAAGAAAGGCCAGAGAGAGAGACCCAAAGGAATGCAGGGGAGAAAGAAGATAAGTTCTATGGTGGGGAGAACTGGGCATACTAGAAGCACAAATAAAAGACCTTTTTATTTTATTTTTGGGTCTTGAGGCTTGAACTCAGGGCCTGGGCTCTGTCCCTGAGCTTTTGTGCTCAAGGCTGCTGCTCTGCCACTATGAGTCACAGCTCCACTTCCTGTTTTTCTTAGAGATAAGAATCTCACACACTTTCCTGTTAGGACTGACTCCAGCCATGACTCTCAGATCTCAGCCTCCTGAGTAGCTAGGATTACAGGCATGAGCCACCAGCACCCAGTTTAACAAGAGGAATTGTAAAATTAAAACCCAGCTCTTCTAAGTTTGTTATTCATTCTCTAAGGAAAGAAGATGCACGGGCAAAAAATTCATTTTGTTTTGAAAGACTTCATTGAGTCTGTGCTTTCTATAGTTTTTCTTTCCATGCATGAAATGGGCATTTCTAGTCAGAAAGGAACTGTGTATCAATTGTAGCCTGGGAGGGAGGGAGGCCTCATACGGATAGGACCTGCTTCAATTCCAGTTCTTTGAGTGGGAGCTGCTGCCACCTGCTGCCTTCACTGGCTCACTGCAATCAATATCAAAAAGCATTTTTATCTGTCAAAGTCCAACCTTAAGGTGAACACATTTTATCATCTTTACAATATAGTTTAGAACATGCAGTACTAACTAAAAAAGATTATATAGCTCTAATATGTTTCAAGTAATACACTTTCTAAATGGCAATGATTTTTCAAATCTAGAGGAGGAAGAGATTTTGAATATGGTTTTCCAATTATATTTCTAGAGTAGCTTGAGATGGGGTTCCAGAAATAAATAGTTCCAAAGAGTTAGAGCTAGAGAGAAAGAGATAGAAGAGGAAGATGAGAGATAGAGATATAAATAAATTGTTCTTCTGTATTTATGAGATTGCAAACATTTTATATCTAACCTGGATAGAGGAACCATAGATGTAAATATATGAATACAATCAAATCAAGCAATTTATAGGATGAGAAACATCATTACAAAGGATTTTCCACTAAATGGAGGGGTACTTTAGTACAAGAAACCTCCATTTATTGCAGTTTACCACATTAATGGATTTGTAGAGAAAAAGGCTTTTTGAAAATGTACAGAAAACCCCCCATGATTTGGTATTTAATGTGACAAACATACTATGCAATATTTTAATATAATAGAAAATCCTTAACTAGCAGCAAACATTTACCCTAAAAAGCCTATAACAGGTAATATTCCAAAAGTGAAAAGTTAGAAACTTTACAATAGAAACAAGAAATATTCAATATAATATACCTGTTTCCAGAAAACATCGAAATTCCAAGCTAGTTTAATAAAATAAATGATGAGATATGTAATCATTGGAAAGGGAGAGATCATTTGTACAGATGTAATTACATACATAGAAGGTTTTGGGGACTCTAGTGATATGCCATTGGAATTGATAGAGTGTTTAATGAAGTACTGGGTCCAAATTCAATACAATAAGGTCAATATATAAAACTAACTGTAACAACCAGGCACCATTGACTCATGACTGTAATCCTAGCTATTCAGGAGACTGAGATCTGAGAATGGAGGTTCAAAACTAGCCCAGCAAGGAAAATCCATGAGTCTCATATCTCCAACTAAGCAAGAAAGATGTGGCTCAAGTGGTAGAGTGCTAGCCTTGAGCAGAAGCAGCTCAGGGACAGTGCTCAGGCCCTGAATTCATTTGCCAGGACCAGTGTGCCCACACCTACACCCATGCACAATGTCAGAACAATGAAAACACTATTTTTAAAGCTGTGCATAATCTTAACATCATGTTATACAAATGAGTGTAGCACTATGCCCTATTCACAGTAATGAGAAGACACAATAACATGTAGGTATCAATTATCTCTGAATTAATATTTGAGTTCAAAACTAATTCATGATATTGAAAGAGAGAAGAAATTTTAAAACTCAAGAGAGCCAGATGCTAGTAATCCTAGTTACTCAGGAGACTGAGATATGAGGATTGTGGTTCAAAGCCATCAGGGCAGGAAAGCCTCTGAGACATTTATTTCCAATTAACTACCAGAAAAGCCTCAAGTGAAGCTGTGGCTCAAATAGTAGAGTACCAGCCCTGAAAAAAAAAGCTCAGGGACAGTGTCTAGTCCCAGAGCTCAAGCCCTAGGACTGGCACACATTCACACACACACAAATACAAACACACACACACACACACACACACACACACACACACTTCAGAAAAGTAAAACCTTAAGGTAAACAATATCAATGGATGGCAAATATAAAACATTAGTATAATAAAATAATTGATATACAACTTTAAAATACAAGGATAAATTAAAAACTAGAAGATGTGATTGGTATTATAATCAATAATCATTATTATCCAGTATATATGAAAAATTTTGCAAGCCCAGAAGAAAAGTGATAATTCAATCGGGAATGGACATGAGTCAATTGATAGAAAGGGAAGTGAGAACAGCCAAGAAGTGTACAACAGGTAAATTGAGCATGGTGGAACATGCCTCTAATCCCAGCTATTTGGGAAGTGGAGGCAAGAAGATTGTAAGATTGAGATAACCTAGGAAAAGTTAATAAAACTCTATCTCAAAACAAAATACAAATGAAATGGATGGGGGCATGGCTCATGTGGTAGAGTACTTGACCAGCATGCTGGAGTATAACCCATAGTACTGCAAAAAATAAAACAAAAAAATGTAACAAGTTGCTCACCCTCTTTACTAATTAGGAAATTAAAATGAATCTAGAGAAAGAGTAGTTCACACAGAACTCAACCACACTAATATTGATAAATTGCCAAGAAAAGACAACTTGACACCATTACCAAGGAAACTAGCCATTGTAAAACAACTGTGGGGGAGACTTTGGCATTTTCTAGTAAATAAAGATGTTAACACCTGTAAGACTGTTAGGCTGAGAAACTGTACAAGTATGTAAGGAGACCATATAAGGATGTTAGTACTGAGATGTTCACACTAGCTAAACTTGGAAAACAGCCACAGTGTCCAGCAATAGAATTGATACATAATCAACAAGTAAAATGTGAGATTCATGAGCTTG